ATCTGCATCAAATGATGAGAAATTATCCTTTGGTTTTAAACCTTTTAAACACATGTTTTGAGCTTATTTTATCCATTTCTTTCATGAACCCTCACCATAGCCTACATTACAGCCTTTAATTGTTAAGCTATAATGATCATATGTTAGGCTAAGGTATACTTGTGATGGAATAATAGAATTATGCTATGTTGTTTTAGAGATTGATGTGGGAGAGATATAAATAATGGGTGAAAAAATAAAAAAATAAGAAAACAAAAAATGGAAAAAACAAAAAACAAAAAAATAAGAAAAAAGAAAAAAATAGAAAAAATGTAAAAGAAGAGCAAAGGAAAACTCAAATTGAAAACCCAAAAGGGCAATTTGTGTAGAAAAATCTCTAAACTAAAAGTTGAATAGACAGTTCAAATATATGGAGGATCAAAGATATTTGAAGATCTCTCACAGCTTGAGCAAAGTTCAATGCATTCAAAATGATTTCGAAAGTCAATGGAATGAGTTTTTGAGAAAGAATTCTAAATTAATGTTAAGAATTGTCCAAGTATTCATTGTTTGGACATTATTACACCATTCAATACCATCCCTAATGACATACTTTAAATTTGTTCCTTTGCCCATTTGTTTTTGTACCAAACTCACTCCTCATTGATTATCTTTCCCTTAATTCACCTTATGCTCTTTTGTTCTTGTATCCCCAGAATGAATCAAAAAAATATTATTGCATTATATTTGTCATGATTTGAAATGATAATGAATGAATGATAATATTCATAAAAGATTCTTATATTCTTTTAAAAAGAAATCTGGGATGACAGGGAGCAAAAAAAATAAATAAAAAGATGGTAGAAACCTAAAAAGATGATTTAAAAAGACACATGGTGTGATCAAGTGATGAATATGGTAATAGATTAGTCGACATAACTTGTGGGTTATGATCAAATGATGGAAATAATGTGGATCAATAGATGAAATTTGTTCTAAAATTGCTAGTGGTGCGAAGGCTATGAGTTATGATCAAATGATGGAAATAATGTGGATCAATAAACAAAATTTATTTTGAAATAGCTAGTGTTGAGAAACTTGTAAGTTGTGATCAAGTAATGAAAATAATGTGGATTAGTTGACAGAGCTTGTTATAATGGTTAGTGTTGAGAAGCTAAAAAAGAGAAAAATGTGAAATGGTGGGGACTTGAGAACCATGTTACCACATTTAATTAGAATTTCATGACGTTGACATACGCATTACATGCATTACGTTTGCATTGTTGTTTGAAGAATATTTAACATTTTGGTTTGGCTATGCATTTGTATAAGGCAATGAACATTTGAATCATGATTTATAGTATAGCATCTATGGTATTGTGAGAATCTAGACTGTTACATTTGCATCATTATCATGACAAAGTTTTGACTTTGATAAAAGATTGAGAATTTTCATAACAAAAAATTTTAAACTTTAGAAGAAAGCTTGACATTTGCATAGCATGCATTACATTTCTGAATATTTAGTGCATAGCGTACATTGCATTTAAGAATGTCCAGTGCATGAAGTAGGGATATTTCAAGATTTTCCATGAAAAAGATAAACATGAAAACTTTTCAATGAAAGAATTTCAACTTCTCATTGAAAAAGAATACCTTTGAGGTAAGATTTTGATCCTTAAAAAATGATATTTCTCAATATTATGAACAATCTATAAAACCTCTGGGCATAATCTCTTAAAATTTTTTCAGACATAAGCTATGACTCCTCTAGACATGATTATTAAGGAGCTTTATTTATTTTTCAAAGTCATTAGCCTCTTTTTAGAAGAGTTTTATTTAGTTTTCAAAAGTCGTTGAGTCTCTGCTTAAAGAAGCTTTATTTATTTTTCAAAATTGTTGAGTTTCTGTTTAGAAGAGCCTTGTTTGTTTTTTTCAAAGTCATTGAGCCTTTATTTAGAAGAACCTTATTTACTTTTCAAAGTTGTTGAGTTTTTGATTAAAAGAGCTTTATTTATTTTTCAAAGTTGTTGAACATCTATTTAGAGGAGCCTTGTTTGTTTTTTTCAAAGTCATTGAGCCTCTATTTAAAGGAGCCTTATTTATTTTTCAAAGTTGTTAAACCTTTGATTAGAGGAGCTTTATTTGTTTTTCAAAAGTTATTAAGTCTCTGTTTAGAGGAACTTTATTTTTTTTTCAAAGTTGTTAAGCCTCTGTTTAGAGGAGTTTTATTTATTTTTTTTAAATCGTTGAGCCTCTACTTAGAGGAGCTTTAGTTACTTTTTAAAGACTTTGAGTCTCTATTTAGAGGAGCCTTATTTATTTTTTGAAGTTATTGAGCCTCTGCTTAGAGGAGCTTTAGTTACTTTTCAAAAGTCGTTGAGTCTCTATTTAGAATAACTTTATTTATTTTTCAAAGTCGTTGAACCTCTATTTAGAGAAGCTTTATTTAATTTTTCAAAAGTTGTTGAGTATCTATTTAAAGGAGCCTTATTTATTTTTTAAAGTCATTGAGCCTCTGCTTAGAAGAGCCTTATTTATGAGCCTTTGTTTAGAAGAATTTATATGTTATTCAAAAAGACTAAGTACGTTTAAAAACCAAAAAAAGAAAGAAAAATAGGTGTTGATTCCTAATTGGGTTGTGTATATCTTTGTATAATTTCTATTTCAAAAAAAATGTGTAAAGAGGGGCAGCTGTAGACATTTCAATCTGTCTGGGATTTTACTTGAGTTTAATTTTGTTAATAAAAATAAAAAAATAAAAAGTAAAAAAAATGAAAATATGGTAGATTGAGTTTGTGTGAAATTGTATGTGTGGACTGAGGAGTTTAAGTTGAATTAATATTTGAAGTTTGGATTTAAAGGAAATTAAAACTCCTTTCTTGTTTAGGGTTCTTATGCTCAAAACACTATAAATATATGCCCACACAGATTAGAAAAAAGACACAAAAAACATAAATGAGAGAGAGACATACAGAAAGGCAAAAAAATATATATGACAAAAGGTAAAGAGATTATCAAAAAAAAATTTAAAAGATTTTTTTGAAAAATCTAAAAAATTTTCAAATTGTGGTAAAATTTTTCAGATTTCAATGAAGATTTCAACAAGATTTGAAGTTTTTGGCCAAAATTTTAGTTTTCAGTGAAGTTTTCAACAACTTTCCTAGATTTTGACGATGAATTCTAAAAAGTGGCATCGACATTCATCAGTCTTAAAGAGAGAAAAGAAAAAAAAAAAAGAGAAGAGGAAGAAAGGAAATTTGAAAAAAAAATTCAGCCTTTTATTATATAAGCACAAAATGGCATTGTTATGAATATTAAAAAGGGCCCAAGATCTGTGCATTTTACCGTTGAGCCAACCTAACCCGAACATTAACCTGCGTTTGACCCGCGTCCAGCCTTTGTCTCAAGCGAAGCCAAGCCGTCATCCCAATTTTTTCCTGTTTTTCTTCTTACAGCCGAGCCAAGCTTGTCAGCCGATGAACCTAGCCACTTCCTATTTTGGTATTTTTATTTTATTTTATTTGTTTGATTATTTTCAAAGTATTTTGCATGATCAAATTTTAAGAAAAATTAAAAAATATAAAAAATATTTTTTGAAATAAATAATAATTATCTAATGATGAAATTTTTAGAAATTTTAAATGATAAATTTTTATAAAATTCATAAGTGAGAATTTTTTTTTAAATTTGTCCCAAATGGTGGAATAATTTAATAAAGTTTCAATAATCATAATTAATATTTATTTTCAATTTAAAAAATAAAAATAAAAATGAGAAATTTTAATAAAATTTTGGGTTAAAAATATTTGCCAATTATCCAAAGATAAGAATTTTAGAAATTTCAAATAGTAAATTTTTAAAAAATCTTTAGGTGAAAAATTTCTTTAAATTTGTCTCAAATGGTAGAAAAATTTAAATGAAATTTCAAGAAAATAGTTGTCATATAATTTCTTCCAAAAAAATTCCTAAATAGACCCGAATGATGAAAAATTTAGAAATCAAAGTGAAAATTCTAAATTGACCTAAATGATGAAAAATTTGGAAATAAAAATAAATAAAAATAAATTCCAAGGATAAAATTCTTATTAATCACAAATTGTTGATTATCTAAAAAAATTTAGGTGAAAAGATATTTTTAATTTGGCTCAAATAGTGAAATAATTAGATATATTTTCAATAAAAAACCAAAAATAAAAAAATGACTAAACTTTTTCCGATGACAGAGACTTTTAAAAAAAAACAAATTGGATTCTTGAATACTCAAAAAATATTTTTAAGAATTTTATCAGACAGATGGAGAATTTAAGAATTATTTTTAATATTTAAACATTAAAATTTAAGACCTCTAGAATTAAGACTTTAGAATAATTTAAAATAAAATGGTACCATCCTTTGATGGGCATGTGAGGGTGCTATAACATTTCCTATATGTAACTAGGCTCCCGAATCCTATTTTGATTAGTAAATCAGAACCTATTCTTTTAGGCCCTTAGTCAAGCTTAGGAGTTCCTTAAAATGATAGATTCGTTAGATGACTAATCACACCTAATTAAAAAAAGTTAGTGGCTACTTCTTAAATTAAATTTAGCTATAAATTTATAAATTTATATATTATGACAATAACCTTATGAAAGGTAATGAATTAATTGTAAATTTTACTCAAACTTTCGATAAACTATCTTTCTTTTATTTTGTTTATTAATTGCAAGTAGTTATTAATTATTATTATTATTATTATTACTATTACTTTTAATAAAAGTAAAATTAAATTTTGTTTGTGTTCAAGTGGAGCATGAATAACTTGACGGGGGAATTTAAATCAATGTTCGATAGAAAGAACAAATTATGATATGTTAAGAACAAACAAAGTTATTTAGAATATAAAAATTGCTTTTATTTATATTTACAAATAAGATTTTATTATTTTTTAAAATAATTTATTTTTATTACAATTATATTTCCATTCTTTCTAACATTTATAAAGATGTCATATATATATTTTACTTTTTTCCTTTTTAATAGGGGCAAACTATAAAAGAATTAAAATTTTCCAACGAAATTATAACAAAATCTATGAGATATAGGATCTTAGTAAAAGTAGCTGCCCCTACTGCCCCAATCGTAGATCCGTCCCTGACAACACATTCATATAATTCTTTCAAGAAAAATTACTTAGAATATGACTTTTATTGCTTTAGTCATCAATATTGATCAAACTGTTGGTCTAGCTGGTCCATTGCTACCGGAGAGTTACAGTTCAGAAGGCTTAACATCATCATCATCATCGTCGTCGTCTTTTTTCGAGGTAGAGCTGAAGTAGCAAGCATAGAGAATCAACTGTATTGCTCCAGATAGTGCCCCCAATCCATTTCCAATCTACAACATCAAGCAAAGGTGTGTGTGTATATATATATATATAGTAAGTTCCAATTCAATTCAAGTTTTGAAGAAAGTGTTAATGTATGATAATTTTTACCAAGATATAGAGATCAAATCGAATGAGGGCATAAGTCACCCAAATAATTCCATTAAGAAAGTTGGCCAATGAGAGGTTAAATGGCATGTATTTCACACTCTTTGTTTTGATCACCTTCCACTGTAAATTGAAAAATAGAAGAGAAAGATAAATCAATTAACAATATTGGAAAAAGAGATTAGTTAATTAATTGAATTTTTTTATCATTATTTTTTTTAATTAAATTAAAAGTGTAATGATAAAATTAAAATTACCCAGAGTAATAATTTTACATCTTGTCTTGTTAATTGAGACACACAAAAAAAAAAACAAAAAAGATATGGCTTACCATGATGGTAAGAGGTGAAGCATACATTAGCACCCCAAATATGACACAAAGGATTCCAACAATGGCAGATCTTTGGGCATGAGTTTTGCGCAACAGCAATGTGCATGAGGCCACAACCCCCAAAAGCATAATCTCTATGCATAGCCACCCAATAACCTTTAGCTGCAATTAAATTCATAAATAAATAAAAAAAACATTAATACATAGTTTTATTTGATAAATACCATAAAAAATTTTGGAATAATCTATTTTTTTACGAAAGAAGCAGCACACTCTCTAAAAATGAGAAGAAGTTAAAAAATGCTGAAATTTGAATCTCTCATAAATGTATAAATTAATTAAATTTTAAATTCAATTTTCAGACTATTCGATATAATGTGAGATTTATTTATTTATTTATTTGAGTGATCGTACAATTAATCAATTGCGGAACACCTCGACATTTTCTTAGAATTGGATGTGATTACTTACTCGGCCACTCCTCTTAGCGTAAATGAAGAAGAAGGAGAGGTAAATGAGCTCCATTGCAAGTCCAATGCTATTAATGGCGACAACAAGGGTGCTATCAGGATGAACAATTGGTAAACCATAGAAAACCCACAACATACAGTTCATTACAGTTGCTATGTAAGGATCTGGTTTGAATTCCTCCGCTGCTTTTTTCTTGTACATGTTCACAATTGTTGGTCTGTAATAACAAAAGATTTCAATTTTTTATTTACATATTTCATGCCAAAGAAAAAGGCAATTCTAGATTTTCTCTTTATTGTTCTGTTAGGAAAAAGATTGCAATATGGAGATAGAAGAAAATTGTAAGCATCAAGATTTAAATTATAAATCTACTAGATATTAACTCTAAAAAATAATAATATGAATCAATTAAATTCAGCTCTCAGTTTTTTTTATTATTTTGCTTACTGTATAGGCCGTGTCAATTTTTTTTTCTTTTTGCCACGCTGGGTTTTGGGTATGGAAAAATGGTCAAATCCATTGGGGCTAGGCCTGGAATAGATTGAGGAAACATTGGATAAGAAGGTAGGGTCGGGCAATAATCCTGTCCAACCATACGGCAAAATGACATGTGACTGAAAATGATTTGAGAGAGAAAGAGTCTAGAACTGGGACCTGAAGAACTAACAGGAGAAAGACCTGGAACAAGCCTTTACTAGACTATGACATACCAAAAGATTGGCCTTATCTGATCTGTGGGTTCATAGGGCACAAAAATATGCTTGCTTTCGGCATGTTCAGAAGGAGCAAGATTTCAACTTCCTCAAATACATTTGAAATACAAGAAAAGAGTTTGAGAGAGAGAGAGAGAGAGAGAGAGAATTTTACATTGGTGATGCAAATAGGAAGAAAGAGATGACATTTCCTGCAAAATCAAAACATGACTATTAGGATAGTATAATGTTGCATATGCTATGAGAAATTCATGTCCTAGAATAAAAAAAACTTCATTTGTCCGCATACAGGAATGTTTTTGGATATTACAGAAATCTCTTCTTAGGCACATATTGTCATACAATTCTTAGAGAAACAAGAATTTTCACCATGATCATTCTCAAGAATCTACCATATTGAATCTACCCAAACTTGAAAACATGTCGAGAAATTGCCAATACACTAGAAGAGCAAGAAAAATATTGTAAATTTTTTGAACTCAAAACTTAGTTCAGTTGGTTCGATATTACAAAAATTTATTCTTGGCACATATTGTCATATAATTCCTAGAGAAACAAGAAGTGATCATAAGTAATATTTTCACATGATCATTCTCAAGAATCTACCATATGAATCTACCCAAACTCAAAAACATGTCAAGAAATTGCCACTAGACTAGAAGAACAAAAACAGTATAGCAAAATTTTTGAACTTAGAGCGTAGCTCAGTTGATTCGTGGCATTCAGCAGGTTTAATGTACAATCCCAATTCCTGCAATCCCTTGCTTTATTCTTAACCTAGGACGTTTTTTCTACCAAAAGCATTTATATACAATGCACACATCTGGAAAGTCGTACAAACACTAAAAGAGGAGCTTAGGATTTCAAATAACTTACCAATGGTCCCTACAATTGTCCTTGCAACCTCAGTACTAACCATCTTTTAAGCTTACTTAGAAAAAGGAGTCAGAGAGCAAGAAGAAAATGAAGAATCCAAAACAAGAATGCAGCAGTTGTTACTTGTCAAATATAAATATCGGACAGATATATATCAGCTGATGAATTTATATGTGAAATTACAATCCAAAAGAATTGAATGCAATGACTCAGAGTCTTTCCAAACTGAGAATTTAGTTTGTGGAAATTTTAGTACGTGAATGTAGGGGAGTAGCTAGGAGGCAGGCATAGGCCATGGCTCCCCCTCTAAAAAAAAAAATTTAACACCTTTATATGTGTAGTAATCTTTCCCATGAAATTTATTATTTGACTCTTTTTCCTCCATTGAATTTATTATTTGGCCCTTTTTTTTTATACCTAATTTCGTCTTTGGTTGTTTGATTATTGATCACAAAAAAATGGATAGTGAATTTTTTAAAAAGAAACAACAATTCGCGAATCATAATTGTAAAATTTTAAATTATGGATGAAAAAAATTATGAATTAATAGTAAATTTTACTCAAACTTTTGATGAACTACCTTTTTTTATTTTGTTTATTAATTGTTAGTAGTTATTAATTATTATTGTTATTATTATTACTATTACTTTTAATAAAATAAAATAAAATTTTGTTTGTGTTCAAGTGGGGCATAAATGACTTCATAGGGGAAATTAAATCAATGTTGGATAGAAAGACTAAAGTGTATATGAACAAATTATGACATGTTAAGAACAAACAAAGTTATTTAGAATATAAAAATTGCTTTTATTTATATTTACAAATTAGATTTTATTATTTTTTAAAATAGTTTATTTTTATTACAATTATATTTTCATTCTTTCTAATAGTTATAAAGATGTCATATATTTTTTATTTTTTTCTTTTTTAATAGGGGCAAACTATAAAAGAATTAAAATTTTCCAACGAAATTATAACAAAATCTATGAGATATAGGATCTTAGCGAAAGTAGCTGCACCTATTGCCCCCATGGTAGATCCGTCCCTGACGACACATTCATATAATTCTTTCAAGAAAAATTACTTAGAATATGACTTTTATTGCTTTAGGCATCAATATTGATCAAACTGTTGGTCTAGCTGGTCCATTGCTACCGGAGAGTTGCAGTTCAGAAGGCTTAACATCATCGTCATCGTCGACGTCTTCTTTCGGGGTAGAGCTGAAGTAGCAAGCATAAAGAATCAACTGTATTGCTCCAGATAGTGCCCCCAATCCATTTCCAATCTACAACATCAAGCAAAGGTGTATATATATATATAGTAAGTTTCAATTCAATTCATGTTTTGAAGAAAGTGTTAATGTATGATAATTTTTACCAAGATATAGAGATCAAATCGAATGAGAGCATAAGTCACCCAAATAATTCCATTAAGAAAGTTGGCCAATGAGAGGTTAAATGGCATGTATTTCACACTCTTTGTCTTGATCACCTTCCTCTGTAAATTGAAAAATAGAAGAGAAAGATAAATCAATTAACAATATTGGAAAGAGAGATAAGTTAATTAATTGAATTTTTTTTATCATTATTTTTTATATTTTTTAATTAAATTAAAAGTGTAATAATAAAATTAAAATTACCCAAAGTAATAATTTTACATCTTGTCTTGTTAATTGAGACACAGAAAAAAAAAAAAAAAAAGATATGGCTTACCATGATGGTAAGAGGTGAAGCATACATTAGCACCCCAAATATGACACAAAGGATTCCAACAATGGCAGATCTTTGGGCATGAGTTTTGCGCAATAGCAATGTGCATGAGGCCACAACCCCCAAAAACATAATCTCTATGCATAGCCACCCAATAACCTTTAGCTGCAATTACATTCATAAATAAATAAATAAAAACATTAATACATAGTTTTATTTGATAAATACCATAAAAAATTTTGGAATAATCTATTTTTTTTATGAAAGAAGCTGCATACTTTCTAAAAATGCGAAGTCAAAAAATGTTGAAATTTGAATCTCACATAAATTAATTAAGTTCTAAATTCAAATTTCAGACTATCTTATTAATCGAAATAACGTGAAATTTATTTATTTATTTATTTGAGTAATCATACAATTAATCAATTGTGGAACACCTTAACATTTTCTTAGAATTGGATGTGATTACTTACTCGGCCACTCCGCTTAGCATAAATGAAGAAGAAGGAGAGGTAAATGAGCTCCATTGCAAGTCCAATGCTATTAATGGTGACAACAAGGGTGCTATCAGGATGAACAATTGGTAAACCATAGAAAACCCACAACATGCAGTTCATTACAGTTGCTATGTAAGGATCTGGTTTGAATTCCTCCACTGCTTTTTCCTTGTAGATGTTCACAATTGTTGGTCTGTAATAACAAAAGATTTCAATTTTGTATTTACATATTTCATGCCCAAAAAAAAATGCAATTCTAGATTTTCTCTTTATTGTTCTGTTAGGAAAAAGATTGCAATATGGAGATAAGAAAAAATTATAAGTGCCGAGATTTAAACTATAAATCTACTGAATGTTAACTCTCAAGAGTAATATAACGAATCAATTGAACCGAATTCTCCTTTACTTTATTATTTTGCTTCCAATATGGGCCGTGTCAAATTTGTTTTTTCATTTTGCAATGTTGGGTTTTGGGTATGGGAAAATGGTCAAATTCATTGGGGCTAGGCCTGGAATAAATTGAGGACATATTGGATAAGAAGGTAGGGTCGAGCAATAATCCTGTCCAACCATATGGCAAAATGATATGACTGAAAAATGATCTTAAACAGAAAGAGTCTAGAACTGGGACCTGAAGAACTAACAGGATAAAGACCCGGAACAGGCCTTTACTAGGAGGACTATGACTATGACATACCAAAAGATTGGCCTTGTCTGATCTGTGGGTTTATAGGGTACAAAAATATGCTTGCTTTCCACATGTTCAGGAGTTTCATGCAAATGAAATGGAATGTAGCAGGAAGAGCAAGATTTCAACTTCCTGAGATACATTTGAAATACCCAAAAAGAGTTTGAGAGAGACAGATAGAACTTTACATTGGTGATGCAAATAGGAAGAATGAGATGACATTTCCTGCAAAATAAAAAACATGACAATTAGGATAGCAGAATGTTGTATATAATTGATGTCTCTAGAATAAGAAACTTCATTTCTCTGCATACAGGAATGTTTTGGGGTATTACTGAAATCTCTTCTTGGCACATATTGTCAACAATTCTTGCAGAAACAAGAAGTGATCATAATATTTTCACCATGATCATTCTCAAGAATCTACCATATGAATCTACCCAACCTCGAAAACATGTCAAGAAATTGCTAATAGACTAGAAGAACAAAAACAGTATAGCAAATTTTAATCCAGAGCTTAGCTCAATTGATTTGATATTACAAAAATCTCTTCTTGGCACATATTCCTAGAGAAACAAGAAGTGATCATAAGTAATATTTTCACCATGATCATTCTCCAGAATCTACCATATGAATCTACCCAAACTCAAAAACATGTCAAGAAATTGCAACTAGACTAGAAGAACAACAACAGTATAGCAAATTTTTTGAACCCAGAGTTTAGCTCATGTGATTCATGGCATTCAGCAAGTCTAGTGTTGGAATCTCAACATCTACGACGTCTTCTCTAATCCTTAGACTACGACGTCTTTTTTACCAAAAAAATTTATATGAAACGCACACATCTAGAAAGTCGTACAAACACTATAAGAGGAGCTTAAGATTTCGAATAACTTACCAATGATCCCTACAATTGTCCTCGCAACCTCAGCACTAACCATCTTTGAAGCTTACTTAGAAAAAGCAGTAAGAGTGCAAGAAGAAAATGAAGAATCGAAAGGCAGCAGTGTTACCTGTAAAATACAAATATCAAACAGATACATATCAGCTGATGAATTATATGTGATATTACAATCCAAAGAACTGAATGCAATGACTCAGAATCTTTCCAAACTGACAATTTAGTTTATGGAAATTTTAGTGCATGAATGTAGTAGTTGGAGATCATGTAATAATGATCATGTGCAGTTGGGTTCACTGTAGCTATAAAAAGCAGCCAGTTAAATTCCTCGACATCACGTCATTGGAGTTGGTGAAAATGATTGAATTACCTACTTTGGATACAAACAGACCAAAGTTAGCCGTCTAGACTGCAATGTGGTAAGCTGTGATTGGATACAACAAAAACTGGATCAGAATAAGCTTGCAATATCATAACTGTTAAAAGCATTAATTTGATGCTGAAGGGATAATGGGATAAGAAGCAATTTGAGTTCAAAATTTTCTTCTTATAATGGGGAGGCAAATGAATGGACAGAAAGAGGGAACATAAAATTGAATGTCAAATGAATATTCTTAGGAGGAAAAGTTGTACAGTTTAAGACGTAGTGAATAGTGCACACTTTCCAGATGTTTCAACATTGAGGAGGGAAAAAATGTATAAGATGAAAGGTATCTTAATATTCCTTCAGTGGCGTTTAAATTTGTTGGGGAGACCTGAATTTTCGAGTGCCTGCTCTTAAGCATTTAGAATAAAAAAATAAATAAAATAAAATAAAACCCTGTTTTCTTTCTCATTAATTTCACATGTTGAATGATGATAATGTGGACCAAATCTCATGCGTGTCCCATGAGTAGCCTCATGCTCCATTTCAAGAACGTCCTAACCATAGTTTTGGTAACCTGGTTAACCCTCGCTCAAGTGACACTAAATTTTGAGGCTATCAATTGTAATATATACCTCAATCACACATCAAATATTGTAAGAATCCATTAATTATATATGTAAAAACTTGAATTCATGGTTATAAGACGTTTTTTTATGTGGACTAAAAGTATAAAATTTCAAATCAAATATGACAAATCTTGTAGGTTGGGTGTAGACTTGTTGTCCAAGTTAACTATATATAAGAATGTTAAAGCATTCATGGTTATGAACAACAACATTGAGAACTGTGGCTAAACTTCCCTGTTATATCCCAGGGCTTTCATGTAAATGCAGTTACTCTGCCATAAAAAAAAACCAGCTAATATGCCTTAGTAAGATTATAAGATACCAATTTTTAGAAATATTCGCACATTCAAAGCATCAGTTGACTGCAAATATATATATATATATATATATGATTTTGAATAAATTGAATGGAAAAACTTTTCAAACAAGCTATAAGTGTTGACTGTGACATTTACTTGAACAAAATGTGTAATAATGCATAGCAAGTAATTAAGGCCTACGTTGTTCATTATTTGGGATAGATTTGCAACTTTTTAATTTCATATTGAAATCATATTGGATTCCAATTATCTGTTTTACGAAATTATGCCTTCTGGTATCCTAATTCTAGTTAAAGATATCAAAACATTTGGCTCCATAATAAGTACATATTTTCCTGTTCAAAGAGCTGAATTCGA